TACAGTCAAAACTCCCGTTCGCTTGGCTGTTTACGCAGGTCAGTTTTCCGAATCACTTACCCCATGCGACATGTTTACCGTTAGAGTGCAATTCGAAGGTGTTGATAGCAAATATCTCAAAGAATATCTGCATGGAATCTTGGGCTGTATAATTTTGGATGAATAAGTTGAAGTTTAAAACGTCTGCTGCATCTGCCGGTCGGCGAAGTATAACTATAGTCTGCGTGCGACCAGAACCGTAGTTAGCTAACTCTCATCGGCAGATAATACTAATTACTTCATTGGACCCGACACCATGAAGCAAGTCTCCACGTCTGACTGAAATGCCCAGTGATAGCAACAGGAAGGGGAAGGCCTGCCGTTTACACTGGTTACCAGCACACCTGCTGGCCTTCGCCTACGCGAATTTTGCCCGCCAGATGTTCGACTCCGCCTCCGGAATGTAGGATTGTGTGTCAACTGTGAGGGTCAGCCCGCCATCGCGCATTTAGCTTCCGTTTCCTGCGCGCTGGCACCTTGGTTCTTCTTTTTTAAGCGTGCTAGGAATTTTTAAAGGTTACATGTGAATGGCGCCCACCAATCTGTTCTGATTTCTGGACGCCATGTGGACTTCCCATTTTGTATCGGAGCTCCAGCGTAAGCGTCTCTCAGACAGTTGCATAGCTTCACATAAGCAGTAATCTAGAACATGATACTGACCCAACACAGTAACTTTTAAATGGGGATTAAGATGAAAATATGATAGTCCTTGCTTCTACAAGTTAAATGATTAGTTTTGAGTAAATCAAACATGCAAACTCACGGACGCGAAAGACTGAGTATCTGATGATAACGACATGGAAAAAATCTTATCATGTAACTGGATTTGTATTTCCTGGCCACCAGTACTTCTCCTAAACTACTGAAATCATCATACAAAATTTTTCCAAACGCGACTTGGCATCCACAGCCCGTTAATTTTAATGTTACTGAGAATCGACAACCAATGAACCCCAACACACTGCGGCTTTATTAAGCGCAAAAGAATATGACTGCAGTCCCCCACCGCGACTGAAAATGTCTGCCAAAAATTCATTTGAGCTTGCTCCCTGTGTGAGGTCTGACTACTCGTAGGACTATGCCCTCCATTGAAGGCTTTTCTTGCTTGCATCTTAGCTTGGCAGCGGATTTCATCGCTCCATTCAAATCCGATAGCCACACAGTTCAGATTTTGAACGACCGCCAGGACTTCTCAATCATTTCGCACTATGGACATTTTTATTTTATTTTTAATGCAATCGGACTTAGAAACCTGTTAGCGTTGGACCGGCGGTCAGCTGCTATTACAGACGAATGACTGAATCTTATAAACAAGTGGACGTCACAAGGATATAAGAAGATCTACCTACCGTGCGCAAACTCGACTGGCTTAACTGAGTTTCCTTGTATGGCAGGCATATGCACAGGCTTGTTGTTTAAGTCCCATGCATGTCCCTGTAGTACAGTAGATACTGGAGCCCTCATTCTTCATAAGAAGGGGCATAGAAAGAAGTCAGCTCCTCATTTACGAAAATTACTGGTCTTCATTCGTTTGCTGAAATTATTAGATGGTTTCGCCATTGAACCATTCAGGATTGCTGTTTGTTAGCAGTTTTGAAGACGAAAAGTATCTAGAGCAAATTAGGTGTCCGTTCTCTCGAACCCGCCTATCTTCGGTCACTGCCAAAAGATGGCCAACGCTAATAAAACTTCATCTATCCAAAAGCCGCTTGATGAATCCCTTTGGTTTTTATAAACCAGACAACTTAGCCAAGACGAACAGTCCATAAAAATTGCACGAGTTTTAAGTTATATAATGAGAAAGACTGGTCAAGCGCTGAAACTGGGAATTTATCTGCCTGTGTTTCCACGCCTGTACGGGAGTTTAACATGAGCGATGACAGAACAGCAGCAAAAGGAGCGGGATTCATGAGGTGGCAGGACCAATCAACCGAAGGTGTTTCAAGTCGGCATATGCGTTTGCAGGGTGGCGTACGTGGACATCATCTAACGCTGTCTATTGATTAAATTCTTCTCAGAACCCCAGAACCCGAGCAATTTATGACTTGTCTTATATTATCTCCAGGCGAAATTGAAAAAATGACCATCAAGGGAGTTCATGATCGCAATTGCGATATCTGGTCATTCAGCTGCGTGTTGCTTGGCATTTATGTATGCTGATTTCAACTTTATTCCCGTTTGGCCTAAGTATTCAGAGGAACGGTTAGGGGGTGGAATATGACAAATTGCTTGCTCGGGTCTAACTCGGGGTGCACTTGGATGTGTCGGATCCGGTCTTTCCCACGGACCCCTGAATCTAAGGCGTAACTTGAAAAAATACTAGACGACCTGGAATTGCTGAATTCAGTTCGAGCATCGCAACAGACAATGCCCGCCATGTGCTCAATATTGTCATGGACGCAGAGACAGCGACATGGGCATGAGTTAGTTCATCATGATAGCAGAATTTCGTAACACCTACCACATTATCTCTCCCCTTTCGCCCACTTGAGGCCAGTGTCCAAAGTCAAGAAGACCGGAGGCGGGACTGGACACAGTGATTGAAAAAACTAAACAGCCTGTCAGCGCATGCCACACACGACCTGGCCCACGGCAAATGGGCCAGCTTTTCACATAAGCAAGGATTGGTCGGTTCGGACCCCAGTTTGGTGAGAGTATCATAGAGGTCACATTAAGAATGAGCCAGTGCGACCTCACATTTTGTCCTGACAGGATCCAGTCACCCAGTCCGTCGCGGCACCCTTCCAGGCAATGACTTTTAACCCATTATGATAGATTTAGGCACGTCAGATTGTTCGTAGTGAAAAACATGCGTTGAAATGCCGTATGGACTTAGTCCCCAGAATCTATCTCGCTCTCTTTTCCCCTCTTCCATGCAATATTGTACCAGCCGGTCAGACGTCTGATGGTGGAATTGGACGAAGGTGACCGGCGCGGGGTGAGGCCTGTGCCTGGGCGTGCCACCACCACACTCCCACCATGCCTGACACAGTGCGGCCTGATTAACGCGTGCCATGCCCTGCTCTTGTCCCCCCCCCCCCGTGTTGATCCAGCGCATCTTCCGTGTGACCAGGTGCAGGGACGACCTGTTGAAGTATAGACTGCCACACACACTCACGACCTCGATCGGCGTGACGTAGGTCACCGCTTGTTCCACTTCACCTACAAAAAGTCATCCGGTGATGTTCTAGGAGATTCCACGGCCTACGCACCTTTCGAATAGTCTCAGAAGAGACAGTCAGTGCGCACAGCTTTAAGATTCTCGTCCTGCGCTCTGCGTCTTTCTGTTCCCTCTACGCCGCTTCCTGCGGCAACCTCGTCCCCCAGATTCTTCATCATTCTGCACGCAATCAACCCGTCTGCCCGTCCGCTAGGGACCCCCTGCTCATGGTCTGTTCTCAAACGGTTCTACAGTGTCGCAATAAGATTTGGTCTACTAATACGTTCGTTCTGACTCTCTCCTATTGGGAGACTCACTACTTACAATCACCTTGTTCGACATAAGTACAATCCAGATAATCTCGCTATGAACAATTAAATAAAGACTTTTACCTGATGGGCCGCACTTTGTTGGCCATCAAAACATCGGATTGTTGTAGGCTAGACATAAATAAATTAAATGGAATTATCTGCAGTGTATCTAAATAAAAGCTGCTATTTCTTCAGAAACTGATTGCTCTGAAGTCCTTAAGCAGAAGACGAGTGACTAAGAACATTATTTTAAACAAATAATTTTCTTCGTTCTTCGGAAAATGTTTACTTAAATGTGTAATTTTATGACAGGGATTGGTAAATACTTCCGGAGGCAACATTGTTACCACATCCGTACTTCTCAGATATGCCCGAATGGCATGCTATTAAGAGGATAACTTATTGAAGAAGGATTTATATTTGACTGATAACATATTCATCGTACACCTTCCTCGTGGATTCTATTTCTTCGGCGATTAAGTTTCGTTTTTCTATGAATCGACAACTGTGATTTAAACGGCCATCTGCGTAAAAAATCCTACAACATCACGCTGAATATGTAAAAGTTTTTTTGAAACTATCTTATTTTGAAGGTTTTGACGACTATAAAGTACAGAAAGTCAGTTCTCGAGTAATCGACTGAGAACGCAAAAAAGTGCAGACTACTTACTGACATTTCAAGGAGGTCTTGAAACGCAGCGACTTCTTTTGTCATCAGATAGTTTACGGCAAGTCTACGAAAGGCAAATTCTCCTGCTAGACAGAAGAATCATATGTTTATGATTGCACCGTTTAATCCTATCACGACTCCCTCGTCAGTGATCGGCCTTTCCTAAAGTGACCCTGGGGAAACTTTTATTCCTATGACGTCCATATTCGCGAAACCAAAGGAAATCCTCTTCATCGTAGCCAAGTGCATACGGAAGGACGCAAAAAGCAGAAAAATACATGGAACTCTCGCAACACCACTTTGAAGCACATTAAAGAGCAAACAGTTGACCAAATGCAATGCCGCATATTGCCCTAGTTCTCGGAGGATATTGGGCCTGAGGATTATTTATATGTTTTTTCAGTGCTGTCGTGTTTATGTTGTTTTGCTTAGAAGACGAAGATGCGACCACCGGAACAAAAAATGTATTGGCCCGACGCTTCGGATTCTCACTCGAATCCATCATCGGAGACATTTGTTTACTCACTTATATGGGCGTGCTGAAATTAAATCTCAGCAACTTTCTTGGATGCTCGGTACGATGTGCGCTCAATCACAGGGCCTTATTCACTGTCCCACAGACAACAAGGACTCTGGCGAAGCAATTCCCGCGGACTTTGGTATAATGACGCTGAACACCAGCGCGTTCGAGTCCGCTACCCCACCCTCTGTTGGCTCTCTGGCCAGCTTCGGCAACGCGCTGCTCTCTGTGACCTCCATGACGAGTCATTAGCGAACTTCCCGCCCTGCCGCTCCTTCTTTCGGACGTCTTTGAAAGTCAATGTCCTTTGGTCAGCGTTCTCTTGCATGTCGCGTGGATGTGTTGCGCAAGCTGGAAACCGGGATCCCCGAAGTAGTAGCAACGGACAAGGAACCGAGGCACTTTACGGTGGCCAAACTCACCGAAGTGGGGCTGGCTAATATTAATCGCATCCAGCTCTGGTGGTCGACAGTCACGTCGAAAATCCTCACCATGTATAAACTCCCGCATTTGGGGATGCAAAAGCTCTGGGTGGACGCTCTTGTCCTTCTCATAAAACAGGCCATCAGGCTTCCCCAAAAAACGACCTTTTGGGATGAAGAGCTGGGCTCTGCCCAGCAGTCACATCCCGGTAACCGCCTCGACCGGCGGGCCAAATCAGGTGAGGGTATCCGTGTGTGCATCTCCTCACACGGTAATTCGGCTTCGCTGGCCTGATGGACCACCGCCTTGGTATCTCCAAGACGAGACTCCGTCATGCAACACAGTAGAGGACCACAAGGTAAGTGATCCCCAGTTATGCGGACATTGCTCTGCTGGATTGGTATTAATCTGCTTGTTTGTGTTTGTTCTTGTTGCAAGCCAAACACCGTTCCGCTGGATTTCCTCTGTCTGCCTTTGCTTTTGCTTGTTCTTGCTTGACTGCCCTTCGTCTGCTTGTTTCTGTGTGTATTTGCTGTACGCTAACTGCCACTCTTTCGAATCTGTTTGCTCACCGCTTCTATATTTCAGCAACCAGTTCGCTTAGATGAGGACGGGAAAGATCTGCCTCCCGTCTCTCTAAGCTTTTCCCATTCCCGCCTCCACCCCTTCAAGTCGTACGGTCATATCACAGGCAGGCCCAGGCTAACTCGGGTCGTTCTCTCACTAAACCGTCTCGTGGTCCGTTTCGCTCTCCTGCAGGATTCTTTCAGAAGTGACACATAAACGGAACGCACTGGTCGTATGCTCTTTATGACCAAATGACGGCCTTATATGCGTAAAGATGCTGAAAACCGACAAAACATGTGTAATATTAATTCGGAAATAAATTGATTTATCTTCCCTGACCCACTAAGTGACCCATATTCGGCAGGATGGTAGTTGGTAGCCCTGCCCACTGATTCTACAATTGTATTTACTGGCTCGATTACAAGCTCTGTGATTACGTTCTAATTATGTCTGGGAGTGCACACGCAGAAGCCCTGTCAGGATGACTTTCTTCTTCACTTTAACCGCCCCGAGAACGAGGCGCTGCAAAAATGTCTATATAGACTCATTGTATTGCACCCCTACATGGAAACCTTTAGTAAAGGGTGAAAGATTTATCCTACGCGGATTTTGATTAATCACGCTTCTCATTATGCTTCTAATTGCATGCGCGCACTGTGTTACCTGTATCTGATTCATTTTAGATGTACTATCCTAGGCTGCATACCACAGTACCCAGATGTTACCTGAAGGCATAAATATCCGTGTGCTGTCGCAGTACTTGTAAGGGCATGACCTTTCGACATCTACATAAGACCCTACAGGTCAGTAGTCCTTTCTGCTGGAGATACTGCACTAGGTAGGACGACTGGATTATTTCCAGGATCCGCGAATAATCTGTCAGCCTATCCACTTGCGGTCCAGCTTTCCTTCGCCTTCTAAGAGACTGGGCTCTGCAAGCAGAACAAAGTGTAACTTCATATACAGAGTGCTAATTCCTTTTTGCCTTGTACAGTACACCATTCACGTATAGCAAACAACTACTGCCATAGTTTTAATCCTAGATGTGGCCACAGTGACAATGCACTATTATTTGCAGATTTTCTCTTTCGCCCAAACATATTTTTCGCACTAAAGTCTTACCCCGCTTGCGTTATGCCATCCTGCGTGCCGCTGCTCGACTCTCGTGTTCTCATGTCCATTCTGTCGGTTAGAGTACTATCGCACATACTGCGGAATGACCTTAAGACACACTGCCTTCGTCCTATTGATTGTTCGCCTTCACTTGCTATTCTTTCCAATCTGGGGCAAGGATACATTTATTCCGCATACCGTACTAATTATCCATGCTTATTTCTATACCCTCCTTGCATTTTTCACCTTATTTAAATTAGGCTTCCACTTTTCCAGGAACGTCAATTCCAGGCATACCCTACAAACGCCATTTACGCCTCCACTTATCTGCCCCACCCGCATAGCCCCTATTACCACCGGTCCCGTAAGACAGGTAGCTGGGAGTTTTCGGTACCGGGAGGGCTACCAACTACCATCTAACCCCATATTCCTCCAAGATTGTCCTTTGAGGGCATCCACTTCTCACGAGCAGCTTTTAGTCCCAGGTTTCCTCATACCGTCGTGTCATCTTGCCAATTGTCATTGTTTTTTTCCAATTCAATACCTGCGTTTTCCAGTATGGAACATGTTAATGACTTGTCAAAACTGTAGCATCTGAGTCATGGGTAACTAATGGGAGATAGCACCCAAAAATTCCCCTCAACCAAAGCAGCCTGTCTTACGGGACATGTGGTAATAGGGGTTTTATGGGTGGGGCCTTCGAATGCGTGGATAAGTATGAATAATGGAAAAAAAATCTTCTGAAATTGTTTTTTGGATGATAAAGTTTTACTTTATCACTGTGTGGCAACAGAATTAGGCGCGGCAAATGAAAAGTAAACAAATAGCAGTTCTGTAGACGTAAACCATTTCAAGCAACCTGCGGTTGAGAGGAATTTTTTGGGTGCCATCTCCCGTTAGTTACCGAGTCATGTGCACACAGGGATGCCGACAACGTTTTCAACAAACAACCGAACATCTCTCACATGCAAAAGGAGGAGTACAGTCCTCCCATGAACTGTTAATATGTGCATCCCGCATACATAAAGGAGGCCTCACATCAATAGTGCACAACGGGCCAGCCGTGCAAGGAGGGTGTGGCCTATCTAACACTTGCACTTCCGTTCCGTATTAATTGCTGCGGCCGGCTTATGGAGGGTTTCTGGACGTGCCCACAACTCACAGGAGTGAAAGGTCGTTCTAAGGACCTTGATGCACGTGATTTTTGCACCGCTTGGTTCTACTTATCATTCAGCTCTCACCGCGACTCCACGCAGCGGCCGCAGCCCCAGTAACCGCCTAGACCGGCTAGCCGAGACGGACAGAGATGACTGATGAGACATCCATCACACAGCGAAACTGTGTAAGTAAAGTCTGGTTTAGTCAGTAGAGATGGACCAGCTGTGAAGTTGCAATCATAGGCAGAAATTTTATGCCTTTTCAGCTATAGCTCCCAAACTTCCACTTGTCATCCCTAAAGTCTCTAATATCTGCCAAGAGAGGGACAACAATCTCCTAGGCAGCGCAGTGTAATTCGTCTCGTTTCCCCATTAGATCGAATTTGTGACCGGTAGTTGAACTCAACAGGTGTTTGAGGTTTATAAGTAACCCTATACAAGGAGGTAAAGTTTACTCCTTTAAGGAGAGAGGGGGTGTAAGTGTGTCCACTTGTGGGTCCTCGTGATAGTCGTAGTAGGTCGCTCACTAGCTTGCAGGTGTTGACTACGCCTAGCGTCCATAAACTGACACCATTTCTAACCTGTGGCTCCCCGAAACTAGACTCTGCCTAGCTGCCACACCACGGTAACCGTCTTGACCGGCGGGCTAAACCAGGTTGAGGGTGTCCGATGTTGTGTATCCCCACACCCGATAACGCTTCTTCCACCCCCATCCCTACTTCCTCCGTCCCCACTTCCTCCTCATCTACTCACCCCCTTCTCTTACCTCGTCTCCCCCACGTCCCCATCCATTCCTCGCCCCCCGCTTCAAAAGTATTACGGAGAGTGCGAGGACCACCGACGGCTGGACGGACCACCACCTCGTCATCCCCAAGATGCAACCCCGTAAGAGGCCACCAGGTAAGTTAAATACCGTGCCGTTTAATTTGTCTTCCACCGTTAACGTTTCAGCAATCAGTTCGCTCAGAGAGCGAGGGGACCTCCGGTGTTTTGTGTGTCTCTACACCCGGTATGTCCGTTCCCTTCCCTCCAGCCCCACTCCCTGGGCCCGAACACGGTGAGGGTCATAGGTGTTGCGTGTGTCCCAACATCTGGTATGAGTACTCTCTACGCATGCCCCCTCCCCTACCTCTCCCCCACTTTCCGCTTCCCACTCCCCCTCTCCCCTTCTATTTCCCCTCCTACTGCTCTACCCTCCAATCACTATTGTCTAATCTCCTCCCTTCCCCACGGTTAAAAAGGCCTGCGGTGAGGACGCCATGCAATTCCGTGGGCGACCCAGGCCAGTCGGGTCGTTCTCTCACTAAACCTAGTAACCCATAATGGAGTCCGGCAGCCGTTTGGGACGACTAAACAGCCGTTTTTAGGGACGGCACTGCTTACCCCGCCTGGGGGACAGGGTTAGAAAAGGTCCCCTAGACAAATGCCGGGATCACGACATCGGCGCGCAGACGGTGGCTTACAGACTATAATATCTACAGTCGAAACTATCAAAAAATAATCTCTCTCTATCCCCCCCTCACTTCGCTCCTCACAACCCCACAGGCTGCTAGGGTGAGCCCGCTCACTTTGGCAGCCTGGCATGTCCGTCCTCTTTTTATACAACCCGAAGAGCGACCAACCGGAACGGAGGACGGCGCTAGTGGCTGGGAAATTGGACATCGCTGCACTCAGTGAGACTCGTTTCTCCGAACAAGGCCAACTGGAGCGGGGGGCCCATAACAGAGCGACGGGACGCCGGCGTCGTCTTTGCCAACGTCTTTGACATCGTGGGACGACTGCTCTATCTTCCGCAGGGCAATAACGATCACCTGATGAGCCTCCGGTGCCTCTAGGGGAGGGAGATTTGCCACCATCGACAGTGTCTACGCCCCCTCCCCATGACCATTCCTGATGCTGCAAGGGACAAATTCTACGAGGGCCTGCACGCCCTCCTGGCGACTGTGCCGAATGCGGATAAGTTGATTGCCCTAGGTGACTTCAACGTCCGCGTCGCACAGACCATGCTGCCTGGAAGAGAGTGCTGGATCCCCATAGTTTCGGCGGTTTCACTGACAATGGCCGGCTTATCCAACGAACTTGAGCATAACACCAGCTCATTCTGATCAACACTTGCTTCCGCCTCCCGATGCGAGAGTCCCCTCTTGCCCTCATCTCCACCAATGGCCCACATTTTCAACATGAAAAGGAAAGAATCCAAGAGTAAGTAATTAGGGTGCGGGCACGGAGACAAACGAAAACCACGTCCTTATAAAAAAGGGTCGAAGGGAGATTTCATACTTTTAGAAGACCGCGAGACAGTTAACCATCGTCCACCTCGACAGTTGCACTTTTGCCTCACAATTTTTACTGCTTTACATCTATGACCCGAACGTTCCCATTCTCTCATACAGTGGTAAGCAGTTGCCGTTTTCGCTAAATCGCTTCTCACTGTTTTCCCTACAGGGCTGTGGTGGC